CAGCCCAAATGAAAAACTGCACTGATGGAAAAAGTTTTTTTTTTTTTTTTACATTTTATTAACAAATGTTTCTTTAGCATTACATAAACAACAGTTTAATCCTCTTCTTTTGTGAACATCACACACTTTTAGGGGAGTCTCATGGGGTACAAGAGTTTGAAATGCATGCACATTTATTTCCAATTATACGTGGAGAAACAGATGGTAAATGAAGTTGATTGTTGAACATTAAAACAACAGTAGTTCATGGTGACACCATATAAAGGATAACAAAAATTCGAAAGTTCAACTCACATTTCATGTACGAAAGCTGAACGACCGAGTCTCCTCTCGCAGAGAGAGCGTCCCCTGAAAGCTGCTCGTATTTTATCCACTCTAAGGTGATGGAGGGATATGCCTGGAGGAGAGAAATGAAAAGGATCCGAGTGAAAATTAAATGGCTCCGTCTGGCAGTCAGCTCAGCGGGGGCCTAGGGTTAATCAGAGGGGGTGAGAAGAGAGAGAGAGAGAGAGAGAGAGAGAGAGAGAGAGAGAGAGAGAGAGAGAGAGAGAGAGAGAGAGAGAGAGAGAGAGAGAGAGAGAGAGAGAGAGAGAGAGAGAGAGGAGAGAGAGAGAGAGAGAGAGAGAGAGAGAGAGAGAGAGAGAGAGGAGAGAGAGAGAGAGAGAAACGCTAGGAGGACGACAGTAATGCAGACAGACTGGAAAGTATCAGGGAGACAGAAACAGAGCAAGAGGAGAGACTAAGAGAGCAGCGAGTGTGAGACACTGAGTCTAAACCAGACAGAAAGATCCATCAGAATGGAAAGACACAGGGACAGGAGGCATGTTTAGAGAGGCTCGGCTGCCCTCAGAGACCTTTTGAACCGTCCGCAGCGGGTCTGTCTGTGAGTCAGCACTACATGAGGTGCTGCTGTATGTGTGTGATGTGCATCAGTGAAAACACAAGTGTGAGAGTTGAGGGGAGGAACTTTTCCAATCTCAGTATCTATTGAACCTCGCTAATAGGTATGGGAATATACTTGAAATATAAATATAAATTATTAGTATAGTTAAAGTTATTTGGCCTATACAGCTTGTTAAATATACGAGTACGGAGATACAAATTGCAGTTTTTATATTAAGTATAAAGTGTGTGTGTGTGTGTGTGTGTGTGTGCGTGCGTGCGTGCGTGCGTGTGTGTGTGTGTGTGTGTGTGTGTGTGTGTAGAATTGTAACAAAAAAAGTAAATATCCAACACTAGGTATTATACATAGGCCTACCTCTATATATGTATTAATGTTATATACAATATTATATTATATAATATATAATATAACATATAATATACAATGTTATATATTTTCTGAGAATGCATTTTTATAGCATTTAAAATAATATTTATAAATTTAGGTTAGATAGATAGATAGATAGATAGATAGATAGATAGATAGATAGATAGATAGATAGATAGATAGATAGATAGATAGATAGATAGATAGATAGATAGATAGATAGATAGATAGATAGATAGATAGATAGATAGAACTTACAGTGTCTATATAAAATAGCTGCTCAAATATAGTAGGCTAATGTACAAGCTGTCAATATTCGGGTATGGCCAGATGGCGCATACAAGAAGTTCCTCTACTCAAAAGACCAAGATAGGAGACCAAGACACAAATCAATGTTCCTTTTGATGGGGATATTGATATGCCGATACGCGTTTACATGACCAAATATTCGGGTTAGAAAAGGGGTAACCCAGCTGGGATCATATTCGGGTTTTTAAAAACCGGAATATGAGCATATTCGGGGTTTTGCCGGTGTTTACATGGCTGTGCGCGACCGGGTTATTGCTAATATTCCGGTTTTGAACGGGTTATTGGCTGCTTGTAAACGTAGTCAATATGAAGAAACTCTTAAAACGCTGTTGGAAGCCTCCAGAGAGGAGAGTTGCATCACCTGAAGAGAAGAGTAACTTTTTTTAAAGGGTTTTTCTAATGCTGCATCAAGATTCTTGGTGAGGAAATTAAGGAAAGTTGTTTGTTAACAACTTTGAAACTTTGGTGGAGGAGTACTCTACATTTCCAAAAGAAAAGCAATTTCACGCTTCATTCCAAGATCCAAACACTACCTTATTGGAATTAACAATTATTAGGCAATACCAAGACCCGAAAACTTTGTTAGCACATTAAAACCACTTAATTATCAGTATATGATAGCATATCTTGTTAACAAAACCTCCCATGATAATATCATCAATCGCATCAAAAATACCTTTAGAATCCTAAATAGCCCTTAAAAACAACAATTTCAACTCTTAAATTTATAAATGTATCTACTTACTTAGAGGTTTGTTTGGTTTTTGGTGTGAATTCAGGAAGCCGTGCTGACAAAAAAATCTAAATATAAGCTTGCGCAGCATTAAGGAGTAAATAATGTTTAATGCTCCAATCTCAAATTCTGATTAAAACGACGACAACAACAACGATTTTTGTAGGATATATTTAAGGAAGAGGTGACTCGTGTAGGAAAATTATGTTGGATCCTGAACACGTCCGAGTTGGGAGTTGAAGTCATGCCACTGGGACGAAACAGGTTACAACAGTGTTTTGATGATGGTATTGATGCCATTCAGTTAATCGTTGTACTCTACTGGCCTCTAGTGTCGTCAGATGAAACTACAAGTAGATATTGTAAATGTCTGTGTAAAATGATATGGAATTAATCAGAGGGCAAAAACAAACAAGCCTCAGGTGTTTCAAAAAAATGTGAAATAAAATACAATGTCAAAAATATCGTTAGTTTTTCGACTATTTCGATATGTTCCAAGACAGCATTTTTAAATTAAACAACCAAAGTAAGCCACTATAGAAAAATCATTTGTTTTTTAACTATCTTGATCTGTTTCCAAGACATCCAAACATCCAAACCCACTAACATACACTTACCATTTTTCTGTCCACGAATTGATGTCAATGGCAATTTACTTTTAAAATGCCCTAAACAATGCCCAGCCAATGAATATATTTAATAAAGTAATTCATACTTTGTACTTTGTCTTTCTAAGATTCAGATTTCAATCGTTTGTCTAAAACAGCACAAGTGTATTTTGTCATCACTCAGAATAGGATTTGATGGATGATGGATGGATGAATGACTGACATTCTTGTTACAAGTATAGCCTACTCTTGTATGCATTGTCACCACTAGATGGCAGTCATCTATCACAAATTCAAACCCTTAGAATTCAATCCCCTAGAAGAATAGAATAGAATAGAATAGAATAGAATAGAATAGAATAGAATAGAATAGAATAGAAATAGTTTTGTTGCCACACAACCAGGGCCCAATTAAACTGTATTATTACAATTATTAAAACTTTCACAAGTATGCTAAAACAAAAGTCTAGAGATGCAGAGGTCTTTAAGATCATGGTTTTGCATGATCCAAACAGACACATAACCTGCTAGATGACAAATTGCCAAAACTCATATAGTTGTCTAACTTGTCTTCTACTCTAGCACAAACAAACAAGGTACAGTAATTAAACTACAGAAAGATGAGTCACTTTTTTCTCAGAAGAAGATATGATGTTTTCGCTTGCTCTGTTGTAAAATCTTTTATTACGAATTTCAATCAATCATTCAAAAACCTTGCCCTCTCCATGTAATCTAATGGGATGTGAGACAAAGTAAACAATCAAATAATTATTCATTTCTAATAATTAATAGTTTTTTTTACAAATATGCAGGTTTTTTTGTTGCTATAAAGACAAGGTGGGGGGGGGGGGGGGGGGGTGACGTCATGATTGACAGCTTCTCTGAGTGAAGGAGTCACAGAGGCACCTACAGACTTTTTTCGGGAGGAAATTGGAGCTTCAACTTTAATTCCTACATTTCCATAACTGTTTATTTCACACCGACATAATGAGTTGTTCTGCAATACACACACAATTGTCCTGTAATACTAAATATTTTGTGTCTACACAACAATGCTGCTATTCAGAACAAGAACATTGTGTGGTATTGCGTAATTAGTATTTGTAAATGAGACTTTTAAACTTTTATAATCTTACATTCACTGGCTGCACACTTCAGAATGTCACTGAATGCGTAGAGCTGGTTCTCAACCTTTTTGACATTGCCGACAACAATATTGGAAAGCCCAGAGATTTCTCAGTTTTTCATGATCTACTGGAAAAAATGATGGAAAAGGATTTAAAATGTAACTTGATAGAATATTTTAGAGGTTGACATTCATTATAGAATTCCCAAACAAATGAGATATAAGATTTTACTAACTTACATGACTTTTCAATGTCTAGAAATCACACTTTTAATATAATGCTTTATATTTTTTCCAGACAGTGATCCTGGTTCCTCAAAACAAAACAAACAAAAAACAGTTAAGGGGGTATTAAAAAAAAGAAGTATCTAGATTTTGTTGTTTTTGCCTTATTTTAAAACATGTCTTTTTAAAATGAAGTTTTCTTGAGGATACCTCTGAAGTTTGCTTAGGCCCTAGTGGGCCCCGGCCCCCTGTTTTGCAGTAGAGGTCATCCAGGTATTGTTCGCATGATTTTATAAATTTACAGTAGCCTACACTGCATCCTACTCATTTGGTGTACTGCTTTTTGCATACTAAATGGAAGTATGCCGAAGTGTTGATGGGCTCAAGGCTACCTTTTCCACTTACTGATGAAGAAATTAATTAGGTTATCAGTTTTGTTATAATTACATTTGAAGATACATAACAGAGAAAAATAGCCTAACGAAGCAAGATTTTATTTGAAACCTAGAGTTTGGGTCAAAGTCACCAACATTCAAGTGATTCTACACTCAGTACTTGAACTTCAGTTTAATAGTGTATTGTAATCACGCCGGTGATTATAATGGCTGCTTGACTTGTGTCGCGTCGCGCGCTCGTAGACACGGTGTTCAGCTCTACATGTCTTTCCACATCAAAGGGAAATCACACAAGTTCCAACAGTTCAGCGGTGGGAGGCTGCCAGCGCTTGAAAGGATCGTTCGCCTCCAATGCACCAAAGCAAACAAACACTCTTGCCCTCGGAAGTTGCATATTTCCATAAACTGCTCTATGGATAAAAAGCGTCCTTGAGTGCCGTCAGTGTTGTTTGTGATTCAGCTCGATATGTCTGAAAAGCAGCCTCTTTGCGCTCTGGTTTTCTTAACTTCACTCTTCTGCTCGACATGCTCACATGGGACACGGTTCGTTCATTCAGCTGCCCTAGATGCGGATGGGAGATACAACATTAAGTGGGGATTTGACGAGTCCACGATAACTTTTGAAGTAGAAGTGGAAACGAGAGGATATATAGGATTCGGTTTGTCACCGACCGGTGCGATGTCTTCGTCTGATATCGTGATAGGTGGTGTGCTCAACGGAAGTTCGTATCTGCTGGTAAGTGTGTGCACGCACCTTTGGGTGTGAATGCATCTCTGATTATACACATCTCACAGTTTAAAATTAGCCTGCTGCATTTTGACCTCTGTAAATGTTGTGCTGGATTGATCATTATTATTATTATTTCAGTTTTAAGCAGGTTACTCAAATGATTTAAGTAGCTATTTTGAATAAAATGTTTATGGATATGTGATGGAAAAAATCATCAACAACATATTTGCTCCCATCCATTTAACTTATACAACAATAGCCTATGTAAAAATGAAAGAAAAAAAAAAAAGTAAAAAAAAGTTTTTAAAACATAGTCACACGATTAGCGAACTAACTTATTTAATGCATATTTTTTGCACAATTTTGACATCAATTCAAACAGCCGTCTGTTATGAGCTTTTTAAACTTAATAGTAATAGACATACGCCAAAACATAGATCAAAATTAATCTGCACTGATTTGGATCACAAAACAACATACAGTGGCATACTATTATTAATTAATAATGTAATGATAATTATTATTATTATTAATAAAGCATTCATAATGCATGTTTTTATGTTAATGCATAATGCAATCATTAATTGTTGTAGTATTGTTTTATTAATTATTTGTGCCAATAAAGCAGAAATAAAACAAAAAATAATCATCTGTTCTGCATGTCATTGCCAGATCATCTGTATTGGTAGTGGTCGCAAAAACTGTATCAGTTTTTTTATTTTACTTAAACATAGAGTTTATAAAATTACGTACTTTTCAAGAGTGTGAGCAACATTAAAGACCACTGTCTGAACATTCAAATCTGCAGTAATAGTTTTTTGTTTGTGTTCTGAAATCTGTTGCAATGAGATCATCAACAGTAACCCACTGACCTGACTATAATCAGCTGCCTTGTTGTGACCTGGATTTTAATCAGACAGTACTTGCACATACACTATACCTTTTCAAATGAAAACAGGGCAATATTTGAATACATCCACCCCAACTGTCCATATTCTGCAGATTATAATCCCCATCCAGCTCTGTCTAACTGTATGATGTATAGAATAGTCCAAGATGTTTATGATTAGTGTTCAGCACGGGGCTATTCATCAGCATTGTTTATTGAAGACTCTTGTATGTTCCAAAACTTAGCTGTAGTTCTGTCTGCATGCATTGGACAAAAACAGAACATTTGCGAGGGCAGCTGACCAAACATTTTGATCAAAGGTAATCAAATGTGAACGCATGCAGACCAAAACCATGAAGATTTACTCACATGATCCCAATACTCCATTAAAACAGGTTCAGACTTAAAAGATGCAAACCTGAGATGGACTAACTTGGTTCCTCCTCACTCTGCTCAGGACTACTTTACAGACTCGAACAGAAAGGTCCACAAAGATCCACTGCAGAGCTACCAGCTTCTGTACGGCAGAGAGAATGGCACACATACTGTCCTGGCTTTCAGCAGAAACCTCCAGACCTGTGATGACAATGACAAAGTCATTACGGTAGGTTTGACTACATCTGCCTCCATAAGTCTAAAAAGAAACAGCTTTTAGTGTCAGGGTCTCTTTATCCAATTTTTGGAGCGTGCACCAAACCAAAGCTTTGTAACTGCGCTCTCAGTTGTAATTATAATGTCAGCACATAGCCTTTTGTTCAAGGGAAAACAATAGTATGGTGTTTTATTGAGGAGTTCAATAAACTCAATTCCCTAAAATGTTGTCAAATTATTACTTATATAAAAAGCCTATTGCACTTACAGTAAGCTTACAATTACCCATAATTTGTCACTGAGCAGGGCAGTACAGTGAGAGTGATCTGGGCGTTCCATGAGGAGGACGTGGGAGTGTCAGGACTAGTCTACCATGGGATGAACAGAGGCAGAAAGAGTCTGCGATTACTCAACCCTGGAAGCAGCTCCAGCATCCCAGCAGGAACAGCTTTCTTTGACCTTCAGAACGAGGAGGTGAGGAAAGTGCATGCATGCAGCAGACTGCTGGAGCGTTTGATGAGCTAAGAGTGACATAGAACGGCTTAGCCTAAGGCAGTGTTATGCCAACTGTTTTGTCTATTTGTGCATGCTTAAAAATCAAGGTCATTAATGTCAAGGTTTTGTGGTTACATATGAATCCTTTTAAAATACAGACCCTTTTGCCTGCTGATTGGGTATTTTCAATGAAAACAAGGCTCCTTTTATGCCTGTGGGATACTGCCAAACACCAGATTTTATAAGAGTGTACATATTTACAACCTCATAACAAATGCTCAGCATTGAATAGGAAAAAAAAAAACAGGAAATGGGATTAATAAAAAGCTGGAAGTCCACACTCTCCAGTCCACAATGGAATATTGCTGGTTGTTGCCATCTAACTGCTATGTTTAACTGTTTTGGGAATTTTGTAAACATGTTTAAATATTGCAGGTTCCTGTGCCTCATAAGGATACAACATACTGGTGTCAGATCTATAGATTTCCAGAGCTGAAGAAGAAACATCATGTAATCAGAGTGAGTGATACAATTATTTAAATGGTAAAGCAAGCCCATCTTAATGAAATCATAATGTTTAAAACACTTGCATTAATTTAAGTCATGTTTTAATCCAGAGATGAGATAGCTATACAGAGATGCATTCTTATAGGCTTGCATATCGCCAATTAAATCCTCCCTGTTGTGAAGTACCTTTTACTATCTCAGTTAACTTCTACTGTACCTATATTTATGGGCTTTAATGAAGCTTATGCATTTTACTTCTCTCTGCAGTTTTAAACAAAGTCCTTACAAAGAAATTCTAGATATTACTATTATATTACCACAGTGATGGGGAAGCTACTTACTGTAGTTTGGCAGGCTACTACCATAATTAGTGTAATTTGTCGTTAAACTTCATTCAAGCTTCTGTTTTCAAAAAGTAGCTAGGTACTCTGCAAGTAGCAAACAATATATTTTACTGGTGCCATATATTTTACTGGCATAATAACAATGTAGAGTTTTACATTGAAAGTATCAAACTTCAACAGGTAAATTTACACTAAATATGAAAACATGAAACATTAAAATGATACATATAAGAAGAGAGAACCACTTAGGATGAACCGATTCACTAGAGAGAATCGGATCCAATGCTGTACAGTATGACAGAGAGGATCAGACTTGACAATCTTTACTGATTTAATAGCTGATATCCTTAACTCAATCTGCTAGCAATCACATCCTTTTCTATAGGGAACAGCTGATTGGTTCCTCTTGCATCAGCAGCCAATGAGCTCGCTACTCAACTTTTAAAATACTTGGTCAGTGTTTGCTGTAGCAGTGCAGCGTGCTTTCAGAAACCCTCCACCCTCCCCAGCTCCACCTGTATAAATCTGCTACGGGTAATTCATGTATGCTATATTGTACAGCAGCAGCATGTCTTACATGATCACAGCAGTGTGTCTATGTATGTATTGGCAGTAGCAGGTCCCGTACCTACTCTGCAGCAGCAATCTATTTGCAGATCTATTCTGCCAAGAGCAAATATATCAACATTGTCATACCCATTACCATTAGCCTGACTTCGTCATACTCATATTCTAGTCAGAATGTGAGTCTGATACTGCTCCATAAGGGCTTTGATTATGAGGCGTGTCTTAACCGAGCCAGAAAAAAAAAAAACTCTGCACTCAATTGGATAGACCTACAACCAATCAGAGCAACGCAGTAAGTGACGTATGTTGATCTGCGCATAGTTGTCAACAGAACTCAAATGCACGCACGCTGGAAGAAGTAAAATAATGAGTGTTGCTTCTTTTACTTGGTCCTCCATGAGTGCGACCAAAGGAGAAACCACAACGACCACAGGGTTTTCATTGCGTCCCATCTTCTTAGTGACCATCGGAGCCAGCTGATAAATTAAACTTTTGCCGAATCCCATAGGAAGGACGGCAAACACATCTTTCCAATCGACAAATGCCTTGATTGCAGTTCTCTGTTCGTCTTTTGAAATGAATGCGCTGTCGATTTCTTTTACAACAGACGCGATAGCGGAATCTATACATCTCTATTCTCCAGCTGCAGTCAACTTTGAGGGAAACCAGTTCAACCCAAGCGCTCTTTGATAACGTGAGGATTACGTCCCTGCAGATCATCTGTCCATCATCGTATAAAGCCCGCCCTGGCAATTTGATTGGCCCGACGATTTCTGAACCGATCATAATTACTCCTCAATGGATCGAGTCCAGACCGAACTTCCCGACCAAAAAATGTTGTGGGCGGGGTTCGGGCTGGCATCCAGGCTACATTACCATGCCAAACACTCTGATTTTTCATGACAACTATGTGATTAGCTATGTGAATAACCATTTGTACATAAATTAGATTCCACATGCATGTTTGAAAACATGGTATGTTAACTTTGACCTCATATTGGTTGTTTTTACATCAGTTTATTTTGCTATGTTGTCACCTGAGTCGGTTTCCTTTCTGTCTCCCTCGCTTCTATTTTATGTCTCACCTGCTTATTATTGTCTTTTGCAGCTGCTATTTGTAGATCAGACATGTTACTGAAATTATACTCTCTGACCCAGATGAAAGAGTCTTCCAATAGCTAAGCTTTTCAAGTGTTACTTAATTAAAGGCAGAATAGGTACTTTAATCATATGATAAACTACTACAATTAAGCTTCATCCTTTCAGGCTAATTTTTCAGATGCACCAACCTTTAATTTAATTTAACTGCTGTAGTCACCAGTTCGTGCCTATGTAAAATTCAGCTGTGGAAAGACAGGCGTGCATTCATCTCCATGAATTCATCACTATGGCTACAGCTCCACGTTTTTAACAAAAACATAAGCGCTGCACATGCAGAAGTGAGCAGCACGCAGTATGAATGTAAGCCATTTAGTTTGCTGCAATGTTCAGCATGTAGTGTGATGGATACAAAGACTCCATACAGTGAATAGACTTGAGTAGTCCATGTTTTACAAGATGATCAAACATATTACAGACAAATGCACAATTGCATTCACTAGTCAGTGGCATGCAGACTTTAGTTGTGGCCTAAATCAAGCAATTGTAAATGACCAAAATACTTATACTGGAGCATACTGTAAAATAAAGTTTGTCATATCACTTGGGTACATGCAATGTAAATGGACCATTACATTTAGCCTCAAATGAAGCTTTCATTAACATCAACTGAACACAAATCATTTAAAACCAAAAAGTGAATAATTATTGTGACCCCTCTTCACCCTGTCCTTTCTACATACACTAGTCTGGTATTTGTGAAGCTCCAGGCTGTGTTAGTCTGATGCCAGCTGCCCCATATAACCACAGCAGTGTCTGCTCTGTTCCTGCTCAGTTTCAAAGAGCGGATGTTGAACTGTCAAACAGGAGCAGATTTTTCCAGACACTATGCTCTCACTGTCTATGTTCAGGCTATATTGTCACTGTCCTTATTCAGTCTAAGCCTCATGCTATTTGATGCCTGATGAGGGTGTACTTTATACAGTAAGATCCCAAATAAAGGGTAGTTCATTTGCTTGTGTAGTCTAACAGATTGCATGCACGCTTTGTAGGCATATTGCAGATGATTTACTTACAATAAAAGCACAAATGGCCACCCATATTTAAATTAGGCATGTGCTTGTAGTAATTGTCACAAATGTTTGTCATCCAGCTCATTTTCTGGACTCTGTGATGAGCATTTTATCAGAATACCCTGGTGCAACATTTTTTAATGATTGCAAGCGACGTTAGTGTGTTCTCAATGACAAAACACACAATTTCGTTACCTAAACAAAAAAGTGCATCTTTCATAGCAACATTTTGATTAATATCAATACAGCCATGTACATGAAATCATGCTGTTCAATATAAAGACAACATAGGTGGTGAGAGCAGAATCTGTGATGGGTTTACATTAGATGGATTAGACATGCTGTTATCAGTTAGATACAATATTATACTACTATACAAAATGTTACATGTTCAACAGATTTTGGGGTCTCAAAAAACAAAACGGCTCCCCATTGGTAAAAAAAAGAGGAGGTGGAAGGGAAATAAAGGAATGTTTGAATATTTATACAGCCACTGTTTGGCCCTGGGTCCCACTGCTTTAGGCAGAGGCCCCTGAAGAGAGGACACAGTTCGCTCTGTTGGAAATGCTTTTATTTAGAATTCCAGTTCCGACAGAAGAAGCCCACTGTGAGGAGAAAAATAATTCTAAAATCCCCCACTTCCTACTCCAAAGATATCCAAGCTAGTTTTAGCTCAAGAATCCACACACACACACAAACACAGATACAGACACAGACACAGTTTCTTGTAGAGGATCAAAATATAGTGTTTTAAAAAGATTACCTACTTTTAAAAAATCTTTATGGCTGATCCCTTTATCAAAGCTCTGAACAGCCAACGCATTCTCATCCTTTGGCGTCATATACTGTAGGTGACGCCATATGACATTTCGTCGAAATCTTACGCACATGGCATCCTTTAGCGTCAATATAACACGCACTGTTATGGGTAGGTTTAGGTCTGGGGTAGGGTACGGTTATGACGCCTTGGGATCTGCGTCTCATATTCACGCTAAACGATGCCATGTGCGTTGGATTTAGACGAGCGTCACCTGTATGACGCCTTGGGTTCTGCGTCTCATATTGATGCTAAAGGATGCCATGCAGGGTTCTACGCTTATGTTTTTCCCAAGGAGCACATGTGCTCCTAAATGAAAAAATGTAGGAGCACACAAAGAAATTTTGGAGCGCAGTGAAAACAAACTATTTATTATATATATACACTACGTGTGTGCTCCTCTTTGTGTTCAACTATGGTGTGAAACCGCACACTTCACAATCACTTTAGTAAAACAGAACAAGGGGAACGTGTTGCTCTCAGGAGGAGGCTAGGAGCACATTGGCACAACTGTGGACATCTGCATCTTTCCACAACATGGAGGAGAAACTAGTTTAAATGAGTGTATTAGTATTTACTAGTATTAGTATCTACTGTAGATTTAGTCGACTAAAATCTTATTGTATTTCGTCGACTAAAACTAGACTAAAACTAAAACAATTCAGATGACTAAAATATAATGGGTTTAGTTCAATTGTAATGCATTAATTTAGAATTTCTCTAAAATTTCTAAACCCATATACTCGCGGAGAAAACATCTATTAACCAGTTAATATGAATGATTTTAAAGTTTGAACATGCAACAGAGATACAGATTTAACTACTGTGACTTAAAAAATATCTTAAAATTAAATAAAACCACTTTTCCTAAAGTAGAATAGTCTTCTTTTCAATGAATGATATATGCATTCTTTATAACTACTTGCATACATAATTTTTTATTCTTTCAAGCAGCAGACATATTTATTTGTATGAATTAAATATAATGAATCCTTATTAAAGCTATTAACGAGCAGTGAATGCTATTCTCTTTTTCTTCTGTTGCTTGATGACACAGACCGCATTAGGTGTATTACCCACTGTCACTTTAAGACATCGGATCATGTACAATGACATGCGGATCCAATTGCACTGATGCACATCGATGGACTCAAAACTGTTTAAGACATAACCAACATAGTTTACGTGAATACTCTCCAAAACGGACATTTCGACATAATGTTGTCTATTTGTCCATTTCAGAAACGAAAGAGAGCTCAGTTCAGTCCTCGCGCACTGTGTGTCTATGTGCATAACTGCACGCTTCGGGTCGGGTCGGGTGTGTGCGCACAGAAAACCGAACCAAATAGAGCTCTTTTTTTGCATCGTCACTAGGGGTGGAACGGTACATGTATTCGTATTGAACCGAAACGGTACGGGCGTCACGGTTCGGTGCACGAATTTGCACGCAGAATACACGGTACAAATAAAAAAAAAAACCCTCTTAAATAGCGATAAATTTCGCTCTATTCGCTTTTGGTGTGACTGTTAACGCAGCAATGAACAGGCTGCGATCAAGATTGCAATGCAGGAGTGTGTGTGTCTGTGTGCGCGCGCGAGAGAGAGAGAGAGAGAGAGAGAGAGAGAGAGAGAGAGAGAGAGAGAGAGAGAGAGAGAGAGAGAGAGAGAGAGAGAGAGAGAGAGAGAGAGAGAGAGAGAGAGAGAGAGAGAGAGAGAGAGAGAGAGAGAGAGAGAGAGAGAGAGTGAGAGGCGCGATCGAACAGTGTGTGTGTGTGTGCGCGCGCGTGCGAGAGAGAGAGAGGCGCGGGCGCGAATCGCGCGATGAACAGTGTGTGTGTGTGTGTGTGTGTGTGTGTGCGCGCGCGCGTGCGAGAGAGAGAGAGAGGCGCGGGCGCGAATCGCGCGATGAACAGTGTGTGTGTGTGTGTGTGTGTGTGTGTGTGTGTGTGTGAGAGAGAGGCACGGGCGATCGAACAGTGGAAACGTAAAAACATACTCCGTCATTTTTTTCATACAGGACATCATTAAAACTGCAAATTGTTTACTTATATTTGTGTACACTGGCAATAAAACACAACATTGTGCTTTTGTCACACTCTAAACTCTTGTCAAACTGTAACCTACAACTGTTAACAAAAGTTTTTATGGTAGTATTATTTTATACGGAAATCAATTATTTATAATTCAGATGAGAATAAAGTTAGTTAATTAAAATGAAGGAAAACAAATATCTTGATCTGAAATAGCAAATTAATTTTAAATTCATTCAGGTACAATTACCAAACATATCTCAAGGTCTTTTCGTCTTTTTAATAATTTAATTAATAAACTAATTATATAAAACTACTGTCAGTGCACTACAAATAAACTGGTTCTATGCCTTTATTTATAAAACTTATTTAAAAAAATACAAGGTTTAAGACATTTATAAAAATGCCTTCTGCATTTTTGCTTTGCTTTTCACTCCATTGTACCGAAATCGTACCGAACCGTGATGTCTGAACCGAGGTATGAACCGAACCGTGACTTCTGTGTACCGTTCCACCCCTAATCGTCACTCTTATTCAGATCTATATGTCTGCTCTACTAATTCTCCCAGACATTTACATTTTTTAACGTTTTATGAGATGCAGCGCATGTCAACCCGTGTGCCGCTGGGTAGATGAGCACGTTACAGTACAAATGTGCGCATACCACAAACGCAGGACATCAGTTCTTACTGGATCGTCACCAAATCGTCACTATCTAACATTGTTGTCTAGTTTTTATTTGTTGACAAATGTCAATAGATTTTCGTCATAGTTTTTGTCATTCAAAACTAGTTTTTATTTAGTTATCGTCTCGTTTTCGATTATGGTAGGTTGTAGTTACTCGCACATTGTGCTCGTAAATCATTTTTCCGGTACGCACGTATCGATTTTTAGGGGCATATGCGAGCAAAATGGTCGCACTGTAGAGCCCTGCCATGTGCGTAAGATTTCGACGAAATGTCAAAAGCGTCACATGTATGACGCCAAAGGATGAGAACGGGCTGGAACAGCATGTGTAGTGGAAAGTGTTCTTATTTTGGATTTACAAATTAAATCAAAAGTGAGATTTACAAAATTCTGAAAATAAATTCAGCTTTACCATCACAGGAGTTAATTACGTTTTAAAATGTATTAAAATAAACTGTTATTTTAAATTGTAATAAATTTATTTCGCAAGAGTACGGTTTTTGCTGTATTTTTGATCAAATAAATGCAGTGTGGGTGAGCATGAGAGAGTTCTTTTAAAAACAAAACAAAGAAATCTCACAAACCCCAAACTTGTGAACAATAATAAATATTAAAGGGTTGGGTTATTTTTCTAAATGTATGTAAAATTTGTTCCCTTTGAATCCAACAGTCTGAATTTGCCAGGATTGTTGAAGTGGAATTTGAATGGGTGTAACCGGAAGACAAATGTACTGAATTTTGAAACAAAATATAAATATTGATTTGAGCTAGTTATGTCATACATATTGACATTTATAATTTTCAGGTTCAACCTATAATGATATAAATGCACTAATAATAAACAAATAGATCGTTTTATACTCCGTTAGTCCTTTATAATAAGGTTTTTCTGTACTGCTGAGAGATGGCTATATGAATTTAACACCATTTTAATTCTGCACCCTGTTTGCTACCTCAGTTCAAACTCAAAAAGAGAAATGAAATTCAAAAGGCATTCTCAATTCAATTCTGAGTGGCGCACAACCCTGTTATTTATATTCCACTCTCTTTGTTTGGTGTTTTCAGATAGAGCCATTGATTCAGAAAGGTCATGAGAATCTGGTTCATCATATTCTGCTCTACCAGTGCGACAGCAATCTGAACAAGAGTGAGATCAACAGAGGACATGAATGCTACCATCCAAATATGCCAGACTCCTTCTTCACCTGCGAAACCGTCCTGTTCGCCTGGGCTATTGGGGGAGAGGTGATCATTTCATAAGTTCATATTCATTTGAAATAATGAGAGTTTCAGATATTGAATGAAAATTATTTTATATATTGCAGGGCTTCACCTATCCTCCACATGTTGGAATGTCTATAGGAACCTCAATAGACCCAGTCTATGTACAGATGGAGATTCACTTTGATAACCTATCTTTACAAAGAGGTATGTTATATTTGTTTTTTATTTAATACCTTAACAGTTTAAGGCCAAACCTGCCTCACTTAGTGACATATGACATGACTAAACATTATATCACAGAACATTACAGTTATTTTCTGTCACATTTTGTGTCGGTTATTATATTTTATGTATTTGTGGATGAAATACTCTTTTTTCGAATAATCAAGTTTTTGTACGATTCACGTCGCACAAATTTATACGAAATCACCACCTCGTAACATAGTTATGTTTTCCTTGAGATCAGGTTGGTTAAGCCGCAAAGAGCTGAGCTCAGAGTTTTGGTCTCTCCACAGGGACAGTGGACAGTTCAGGCCTGCGTTTGTACTATAGCCCCAGCCTGAGGCGCTATGATGCTGGGGTCATAGAGACAGGAGTGTGGGTCAGTCTCTACCACATGCTGCCCCCAGGCATGCAGGATTATATTACAGAAGGACACTGCACACAGGAGTGTCTCCAGGAGGTGAGACCGCACAAACACAAGAATTATAGTGGTTACACTCCATTTACACTCTATGAGATGATATTTGATACCTACACTACCATTCAGACATTTGGAATCACTATGAAAGAGTGTTTTTGAAAGAAATCAATATTCTTATTCACCAGGATGCATTCAATTACAGTAAAGACTTATATTATTACAAATGACTATTTATATAAATAAATGATGTTGTAAAAGTAGTTTATGCATACCAAGACTGCATTTATTTGGTCAAAAATACAATAAAAATATAAATATTGTGAAATATTATTACAATTTAAAATAACTGTTTTCTATTGTAATATATTTTAAAATATCATTTATTCCTGTGATGGCAAAGCTGAATTTTCAGCATCATAACTCCAGTCTTCATTGACACATGATCCTTTAGAAATCAATCTAATATTCTGATTTGCTGCAAGTAACATTTCTTATTATTATCAATGTTGAAACAGCTACTTAATATTTTTGCAGAAACTGTGATAAATTGTTCAAGATTCTTTGATGAACAAAAAGTTTAGAATAAGAACATAATTTATTTGAAATAGTAATCGTTTGTATCATTACAAAAATCTTTACTGTCACTTTTAATCAATTTAATGCATTCCTGAATAATAAAAAAAAAAATTGCATTGATTCCAAACTTTTGAAGGTAGTGTATAAAAACAGAAAACAATGATTTCAAATGTTTGTTTGTTTTTTTTTACAATTAAATGCTACATTGCTGAACAGAAGCTTTAATTTTCTATGTTTTTAATGTCTCAAAACCCAGACCAAAAAAAAAAAAGTATAACGTGTCTCTCTTCCTGTAAGTCATTAGACAGTGAGATGCCCAGTGGAGTTCATGTGTTTGCAGTTCTGCTCCATGCTCACCTGGCAGGACGGGCTATCAGAACCAGACACTTCCGCCAGCAGGTCGAGCTCCAGCCACTTGCCTCAGATGATCAGTTTGATTTCAACTTCCAGGAGTTCCAGCCACTCAGCCAGGAGAGGATCATCCTGCCTGTCAGTCAGAATCCATTTCAGTTTCATAATCTTCATTGCTCCATCTGAGGGTGAAATTGATGTGTTGCATTAATCACCAGATACAGTGAACCTCACAGTTTGCTTTACTCATTTTTTGAAAACCAAAAAATAGGTTCTGTGGTACTGTGCTTTTATCTCACAGTCTCGTTTGGGTCAAATTAAATATGACATTTACTCAGACTAAATTATTTACACTGTTCTCAGGATTTAGAGTTTATAGCTGAGGGATTGGTAGTATTGTAGTAGAAAAGAATAGAGCCATTATCATTATCTGCTCCAGTGTCCATTTTCAAACACTTTGTATTACCTGATGTAATAAATTTAACATGTAAACAGCGCACATTGTGCATCTGTACGACTGGTGTCAATTTAAAAAGGCCTACAGGCGAGAGGTGACACCCAACAGTGAGCATAATAGAGAAGCAAATGTTTTTACTAACCGTGCATTACCTGTTTTTCTGTCACCAGGGAGATTCTCTAATCACTGAGTGTAGATACAACACTAAAGGCAGAATGAACATGACCTGGGTAAGATTAAAGCTTGTGAAGTCTTGTTTGCTTTTTTAACAATTGTATAGATGTGTGTCTTATACAGAATTATTTATCATATTAATCCTGGATAATAGCAAACCTTAATAATACTGTAATAGAGCTGTTCAGTCAAGATGTCTGATTTTTAGGCCACCCCGAGCGGTAATTTGCCATGGCTTCCTTTGGGAATTTCTAATGGGATTTTAAAATAGCATTTCTTGATGTATGACTTAAAAAGGTCTGTGGGGAATATTACTTGAAACTTTATCATTTTGTTCACCAACTTAAAGGGATAGTTCACCCAAAAATGAAAATTCTGTCATCATTTACTCACCCTCATGTTGTTCCAAAACTATGACTTTCTTTCTTCTGTGGAACGTAAAAGATAAGTACGTTTGTTTCACAGAAGAAGTTGTACAGATTTTGGACCAACATGAGGGTCCAAATGATGACAGAATTTTCTTTTTTGGGTGAACTATCCCTTTAAGTTTAAAACCTTTTACATGTTGTAAGGTACACAACTACGGTAGTCCTAATGTAACAACTTGTAAGCAACTTTAAGAACCCTAATATATATATATATATATATATATTAGGTGTGTGTGTGTGTGTGTGTGTGTGTGTGTGTGTGTGTGTGTGTGTGTGTGTGTGTGTGTGTGTGTGTGTGTGTGTGTGTGTGTGTGTGTGTGTGTGTGTGTGTGTGTGTGTGTGTGTGTGTGTGTGTGTGTGTGTGTGTGTGTGTGTGTGTGTGTGTGTGTGTGTGTGTGTGTGCGTGTGTGTGTGTGTGTGTGTGTGTGTGTGTGTGTGTCTGTGTGTAATTTAAAATGTAAAATTCAACAACAAAAAAGCTGTAGGACTATAAACTAAAACTATAGACTTTAGGACTACAAACTGAACAGCTCTATTAGAAACACGTCTTTGAATCTCAACAGCAGGCTCTTGGCTAAACAATGTGTCTGAAAACAGCTGCAAGTGGAGATGGATCCAGCTGCTGACGTTTGCCCGTACACATGAAGACAGTGAGCTGATAGGCTGAGCCGAGCTGCTTTTTCTCTGTAGACAGTCCACAATCCATAAAAATCACTGGTGTTTTGGATTCATATTAGAGAGATCAAGATATATTTGCTGCTCTGTGCATGTCAGTTCAGTTTTGCTCAGTACTGGGCATAATTTGTCACAGGCCTCTGGCTGTTACAATGATTCAGATGCTTTATGTCAGTGTAATATTTCAAGGTCTTGACCCTAGAAATGTGGAATGTCTTTTTTTTTTTCTACAGGGAGGTCTTAGTACACGTGATGAGATGTGTTTGTCGTATCTGCTGTACTACCCCAGGGTTAACCTAGCCAGGTGTGAGAGTTTACCAGAAATCACCGGCCAGCTCAAATTCATTGGGGTCAAAAAGATTCAGGAGCCTGTTACGTAAGTCTGAAAAACCACCTTAGAAAAGGGCTTCTTTGTTAGTGGCAAATATACACATATTAAGTTCATAACAATGAATAACATTTATTGTAAATGGCACTAAAGTATGAGGCTGCACAAGAAAAACATCCAAATTACCTGACAGATATGACTGTATTAAAAATCCTGAAATAACAGACATGTGTCTGTAACAGGGTGAGACTAGACTCTAGATTGTGTTTAGCCAATCAGAAGACTGAAGGTGCTATCTGCCTGTCAATCATTTTGCATTTAGCTATCCAGCCTTATTTAGCAATTGCCAATTGTTACTTTAATATTCACTACTGCTATTTGCTACTGTTATTTTTGACAACTTTGACAGGACAGAGATCCTACTACTCACATGCTCCAAGTACAATGAATCTTTCAAGGTGGGGTTTTGGAAAGTCTAATTCATTGGCTAAAGTATGCTTCAGTTTTGACACGAATACTTAACTTAGCTGAATACATAACCTATCAAAGTATAATCCATTTGATAGTGTGCTTGATAGACATCGTTTAAACTAGAGTTGCGTATCTTCTGAAAATGAAACGGATGAGACGGAACTACAAAAGATTAACAAGCACTTGTGTGAAAGAGTAAAGAGACACTCACAACTAGTTTAAACAAGGACGGTTATCAGTCATAACGTCTGGAGAGAAATAGCACAGAAAATGGACAAAGATGAAACTTTCTAGAGGTCAAGTGTCGAACACCTGTGTTTGCGCACGCTATCGGTGAATCTGCGAGACTTTAGATTCATTAGCCACTAATAACTAGAAGACAAACAACGTGCAGTAAAACAATTTGCACTAAAAACAAATTGGTGTTCATGATGACAACAATGACCATAATAATAAAGAAGAGGATGGAAAGGCGTAGCGCCAAACATCCGTTTTTGGGTTCAACCCTTCATCAGTGTCATGTGTTACCAAGTGTACACCTGCGGTCATTTAAACACTTATTACCGTAATCCATATAACACACCGGAATCTGATTTTATCCCATACAAATATTTACATCAATAGTCTACATGATTATATATACATATCACAACAATCCTCTATTCAAAAAAATTTTTTTACATTTTTTTTTTTAATCTGACCATCAATATGAACATAAATATACTCATTCCCATTATTGAATATCACAAAAGATTATTCTCATCATCCCTACACATCACACGATTAGACTTTGCAATGCATAATGAAACAACATTTATAGAAAATAATTGAGAGTATATTCCTCATTCATGCCCAAAGGATATAGACATTTTAGGTCAAAAATCCATTTACATTCCCTCTGCAAAAGTCTCCGCTCCAAATTACCACCCGTACGCGACTGTGTGATATGTTCTATAACAACGAAATTTGATTCCGAGATCGAATGGGACATCTCATTAAAATGACGCGCAACTGGAGATAATGACAATAAGAAATTAAAATAATATGATGACAAATACCAGTTTGCAATATCAAGCAGGATAACAGACTGTTTCTGTACAGCTAAAATAACTGGAAGCGGATGAGACCGGAAGCCTTGTACTTGTAAGTTTTTAAACGACTGGACCCACTGTTATGTAAATAAGGTGGATACTTTTGGCTTTAGTCTGGTTTAAGTTCCAGAACAGCTAACACTTACAGCTCCTTTAAAATGAAATTTAAAATGACAAAAGTAGTACTAAGAAGTAAGCTACAGTAGGTTATGAAACATAAGAAAACAGAGAGAAACAGGGTGAAAAACAATGGAAAGAAAGTTCAAGGACAATATGTTCATTTAAATGGAACTAACTTGAGACAATTCTGTGAAATGGTAGACCTTCCAGTGACAGCTTGGTTCACATAAGACCGGTGTCACGTAATAGCTTAACGGCGGTTGATTGATGGCCTGCCGGGTAGTTAGATGATCAAGTGAGGATAAATGTTTTCACTTATCATCCAAATGTTCTTGCTGTCATGTCAGCACAAGAGCTTTACCAGAAGATGTACCATCTTGCTTCCATCAGAAAGTGCAAATTGTTTGCCCGACCAACTGGAACATCTGGAATGGTCATTGTAAAATGTGCCAAAAGACAGATGTTATCAAATCTAGTTTGCCCTTCTTGCGAAACCTAGTTTGCAATTTTCATTGCTGAGATAAAAATAAATAATCTTCACAACTTCTCTTTTAAACACATCATATGTGGACATCAAAACATCACTGTTGTGTTACCCATCAGTTTAGTAACACATTCAAACATGGTGGCTCTCCAGCAGTCGTCTAGAAAGATAAGTGGTTCTTAGCTAATTGTATAGGTGGAACTAGCTCTTCGAGATGTTATCGCAACCATGGTATACATCTAAAGACATAATTGAGTTTTAAGGGAGGTCCACATCTCAGAGCAGCTGCGTGTTTTCGACTCTGTGGGCGTCTGCTGAGCTGCTGACGTTTTGTATAGATTCCTTTCACTAGTTTGTATAGGGAGAGAGATGTGTGGTTTGTGATGTCCGCACATGTTTGTTTGTGATTTTTTGTCACATGTTTGTTTGTTGCGTGTGAGCAGGCGAATGTGTGTTTTGGATGGACGTGGGTGTGTGTGTGTACGTCTAAAATGAGGAACATCTAAAGGGCCCTGCTGGTGGAGTGTGTTTATTCGACCCCCTGAGGCTCAGAGCAGTATTGTGCTCAGATGCTGGAATTGGGGGGATTGTAAGGGAATAGACCTGGCAACTCTAAACAGATTTAGTTTCAAAAGCTCTGCCCCAAGCGCCCTCTGTCTTTCGATCACTACTCACACTCTCTCTCTCACACACACACACACCTATAAAGCTCACTGAGGGGATATGGACCCTCTGGTGTATCTTTGATCAGTGAGTACATTTATGACACTCAAACCATCATATATGATATGGGTAATACGGTAAACAGTACCATAATTAATATGTTTAAAAATCATATCTGTATATATTCAGTACAATTTCACAGATGCAGTCCTTATTTAAGTAGCACATTACCCTAAAAGATTTATTTTTTAATTCAGTACTGCTAAAGGAGTTGTATTATAGGTAATTAAATGAATATAAACTATGATATTTGCATTGATATGTATAAACTAATAAGCCAAGCATAAATCGTTTAAAAATTAAAGGAGTAGTTGACCTGAAAAATGGAGGAGAAAAAGAGACTTTCTTCTCTGAAGCACAAAAGGACAAATTTAAAAGAGTTGTGCTGGTTGCTGTTTCCATGCAATTACTCCACACTGAATGAAAACTGAAGAATTTAGTACACAACCTGAAAAGTATCATAAAAGTGGTGTGTACTATTAGTGTGGAAAAGTAGGTTGTTGTGCTCTAAAATATGAACAAATCATTCCATTTTACAAAAGAGCAATCGTTTAATTAAAAGATTCATTTAAACAATGATCAGACCACTACTTCTCTCATGAACACACCAAGAAAGCTAGGGATGTCTTCAGTAAATAGCAGATGCTTAATATAATCTAAATTCAAATTCCAAAAAGTAATATGGACAAGTGTCATTTAGTTCAAAAGAGTCGTATGGACTCCTTTTTATGATACTTTTTATGTGCTTTGGCATCCTCTTGGATGACAGCTCCAGTTCCCATTCCTTGTAACTGTATGGAAAAAAATGTATTGGAAAGACCAAATGTGGATAGAATTAAGTATGGTTATGATATTAAGTAAAGGCACTACACCAAAACCATCTCTTTTGCTTTTTTGTAGAACTTGGCCATTTGTGATTAAGAGTCCTAAGAAATACAGCAACCTTTCCTTCACGGAGGCCATGGACAAATATAAGTGGACGAGGAAGAGAGGGAAAGCGTTCAACAACATTGTACGGAAACTTCCCATGAATGTCCGCTGCTCCAAGATCGGCCAGGATGAGTGGTCGGTGAGTGATTTTGGTTATGCAGGGCCTGTTATGCAGGGCCTGTACTGTATTCTTTTATATTCTTTCATTTTAAAGTCGCCCTCAGTAATTGTTTTGTATATGTGACTAGTAAGGCCCCTTGGACGTATACTGACACCTAGTGAAGTGGATGCCGAATAATACAAAAAAGCAGTTTTTTTTTTATACCGAAGGCACATTAAATATGCGGTTCAACAGTGATAGTAATAAGAAATGTTTCCTGAGCACAAATCAGCATATTAGAATGATTTCTGAAAGATCATGTGACACTGAAGACTGGAGTAATGATGCTGAAAATTCAGCTAGCCATTGCAGGAATAAATTACATTTTAAATTATATCAAAATAGAAAACTTTTATTTTAAATTGTAATAATATTTCATAATGAAATAATATGCAACCTTGGTGAACATAAAAAAAAGACTTAAAAAACATAAATGTGTATCGACCCCAAAAATCTGAACAGTAGGGTCCATATCAATGTTTTTTCAAGTGGTCAGTATTTTTAAGAGGTTTCTAAAAGGTTGATTCAAGTTGTTTTCTCTGTCTCTGTCAGATTCAAGGGATGATCGTCTCTCCTCCGGAGCTAAAGTTAGAGCAGACGTCTGCTGCTGTCGTGACCTGTAGGAATATCTCAGAAATTCACTGTGAAAGTTCCCTCGCTCTGCTGCTCACTGCTTGTCTCTTGCTCATACTGCAGACCTGCTTTCCCCTCTAATGTCTGCTGTCATCTCATCCCATGTACTCATAAACACACATACCTACAGCAGGTTCCATTGGGCCTAGTGTTTTCCAGCTACAGTGAAGCTCAAGATTTACACCTTGCAGACAGTATAGAGTGTGACACATTCTTAATTAACCTAAATCAAGTTTATCACTAACACTGAGCTGTGCTGTATTCATGTAGGCATCATTCATCCTTCTCATGGAATCTCCTTTGGTTAGTACACTGCGGTTTTGAAAGCCTTTCTAACAAACGCCTCGCATATACATCTTCAAAATGTCACCACATCCCGTGTCTTGTGAGTTAAAGGGATAGTTCACCCAAAAATGAAAATGTCATTTACTCACTCTCATGTCGTTCCAACTCTGTATGACTAACATTCTACTGCGGAACACAAAAAACAATCTTTTGTTTTTGTTGTTTTGGTCCATAAAATGAAAGCCAGTGAGGTCTAATATTGTTTTGGACCCCATTGACTTTCATTGTATGCAATGAAAGCAGTCAAAAGTACTTGTCATGCAGAACTCCTCAGAAGTGGTGTATATTTTTTAATACATTTATCTCATTCACACTGGTAGTTTTATTAAAAGTGAAAGCTGCCTTAAAAATAACACATGCAAAAGCGTTCAGTCCAGAGCTCTGCGAACTGTGTTCCTCTCATTATAAGCTAAATGTGTGTTTCATGAATGAATCCTGGCATTATATTCAAAACCATTACATTTTATATGCTGTCTATGTCTTTTAAGCAATAAATGTTTATTTCTTGTAAATATTTAGAGACTTTATTTGTAGCTGGAGTGTTTAATGAAATGACACACATGGTCATCTTATATTACAAATGTATTTTAGGTTAACATGTTTATTGTTGTTGTTTTTGTGCATTATTACATTTAATTTGTTTGCTTGTTTGCTTTTAAGGTTTAGTTAATCTGAAAATGAAAATTATTCCTCTGTATAAAACAAAATGAGAAAATGAATGTCCTATATATATATATTACTGAATACATATTACATGTGAAAATTGTCAGTAATATAATCTGTTACATTATATATTTTAGGTAATTAATCTAATTACTTTTTGATTACTTTTTGACAACTCATTTATCAAATTGATTTTAATAGAATAATCTTGTAGCATATTCATTTAAAAATGCAAAGAGAAAGAAAAGTTATTCCACTCGTTGTCAATAATATGAAATGCATTAAATATGTCAGGCTTTCTCAAACTGGGGTTTGTGAAGGAACTGCAGGAGTAAGTAAGCTACACAACTTCCTTACTTGAGTGAAAGTACAGATACTACTGTTCAAATATTACTCTGTTACAAGTAAAAGTTGTAAAGGCTGGTGTGTACTTAAGTAAAAGTACAGAAGTACTTGTTTTTAAAAGTACTTAAGTATCAGAAGTAAAAAGTAAACATCAATGCATTGTTTTATTATTGTTGCATTGTTGTATGTAATACTTACCTTATGCCTCTGAATCTATGCCTACCTACCCTCATATCAATATCAAATTTATTTCTAGAACACAGTTCCAGTAGTGGGATTGAATGTGAGATTGAACAAGTGCACTCAATAATTTCCACAATGGTTTCGGACACCCAAATGGCTGTTCCCTGAAATAGTGCCCTATTTAAAGTTTTTTGGCTTTTAGTATGAATATGTTAGCCTTACTGTTATCTATAAGCTAGTGTGCTCCAAAACAATGACAAAATTTGCATTTAGAAGATCAATCCCAACGTTGAAAATGAAAATCAGGTTGATGTCAGAAACCAACATCAGTCAGGTTCTAACGTCAACCCGACTTTCATTTCCAACGTCGGGTTCTGACCGACTTTCATTTCCAACCAAAATGCAACCCCTGCAACCAAAATCATCCCCTGACTCATGTTACTACATTCTACTCAATGAAATTGCCAGAATTGTAGTGGAGTAAAAAGTATGATATTTGTCTTTCAAATGTAGTGAAGTTAAAGTAAAAAGTTTCCAGAAAAATTCAGTACAGTAAAGTACAGATACTCAAAATATACTTAAGTACAGTACTCAAGTAAATGTACTTTGTTACTGTCCACCTCTTCTGTTTTTGAGTGTTCAATTCCGCAAAACTGGAAGACTTTCCGAACATATAATAGGCCTTTTTTAGAAAAGAAAAATTGTAAAAGATAAACTTAGGAGAATTAGGGAAAATTATTATATCATTAAATCAATAATTATGAATAATTTACTGCCATTTTGTGAGTAATGATGTAATCAATAAAAAGTAACTGTAGTCAGATTCCGATTACATATAATCAGTTACTATACCCATCAGGACTGATATATTCATCATTCAATCACCCTCAATTCCAAACCTGTATGACTCTCTTTCTTCTGTGGAACATAAAGATATTTTGAGGAATGTTTCAGTGTTTTTTGTCCATACAATGAAATTAAATGGGCCCCCACATTTTTCAAAATATCTTTTTTTCTGCAGATCAAAGAAAGTCAAACAGGTGTGGAACATTGACTGTAGGGTTTGGAATGACAATGGCGAGTAAATGATTTTCATTTTTGGATGAACTATCCCTTTTAAAAAGGGCACAAAAGCAAGTTTTCTCATCCCGAACGATATCTTTGCTTGCTGCACAGGTCTAAATTTAAGTCTTAAGCGCAAAAAAAACAAAATCAGTAAGAAAATAAAGTGACGCAATTGTTACTTTAATGTAGCACAATTCAGACTGGTACAAGATCAGGATCAGAAATGACAGTCATTAGCAATAATTAGATTTAAACAGACTCTTCAGGAACTAGTCGGGGTGTATTTTACAGTCCTTAAATTTGAAGCTGAAGGGATGTGATTGTTCCAGATTTATCCTCTGTTACAGCAGGGTACTGTAAGCCCACTGTTAGCGCCTGGGAGTCCCTGGTACAGCACGGAACATCTCTTGTTAAGGCCTTCAGGCTCTCTCACACACACCAACACGGCAAAAAATGTGCCAATGTGTGCTCGAGAATGCCACAGAATGGTTTCCTTCCCTCAATCTCTCATTCCTAACTCCCAAGATGTTCTTCAAGAGCGGTAAGATTTGTTACTTGTTTGCTGTTTCAGAAGACGCTTAGCCAAATGACACTAATGATGTGCTAGTTGTGTTGAAAATTGTACCACAACCGTCAAGCTAAGACTGAAAGAGGAAGGGAGACGAAGTATGATCTCACTTCTTTTCTTTCTCTTCAAAAGACGCATGTCTTTTATGTGTTTACTCCTATTATATGGAAAACAGAAGTCAGGCATTATGGGTCTTAATAGTTGACGTGCCGTTATAGGAGGTTGCGGTCATAGTAGAGTTTGGGAGAGGAAGTCACTGATGTAATACAAGGACAATAGCCTTTGGTTTGGGCTACACTTCTTGTCAACTGGAGCCGTGAAAAGAGGTTTTGTGACTGAGACTTTCCAGGCTTTGGTGTGGGAACACTGATCTTCATCCGTTTAGCCACATCACAGGAACCACAGATGCTTAGATGGTGTCCAAAACTTCATTTTGTAAAGAAACAAGGATTAAAAGACAGATTTTTAAACATGTATTTGTGGTTGAGTTATTGTTTATATTGTGGCTTGAACTGGGTTATATACAGTAGAGAGACTTAGTTGAAAAAGGCATGTTTGGTAGTCGTCTTCCAGTCTGAACTGAACTTTAACTGAGGTTTAGATTCTTGTAATGGAACATCACAGAGAGTTGAGAATATGGCAGGGTAATGAGAAAGCTAACACATCCTGTCGTGCCAAGGCAACTTCCTGTTGATTTTGTTTCCATTTTGACTTAAGTCAAGAGTTGTTAGGCTTTATATAAATCTCTGCCAACTGTTGGCCTGAAGGCGTTTTGTAATATTGATGTTGTTGACGCTATTAGTGATGAATTATTCAGATTTTTAAATTATATAAGCGAACGAAAACCTGACGTGACTTGTGTGGACATTCTGTGTAGCTTCACAATATTTCCGATAATGTTAATACCAATAAGAGCCAGCAGAGTGCAGTGTTTGCCAGGGATTGAAATTACAATTTCAATCCCTGGACATTTTGGGGGTTTTTGGACATATCATAGTCTGGGCATCTTTTTTAACATGTGAATACAATGGTATATAAATATGATACCATTCTTTTTTATTATCTTAGAATAGAGTACTGTGGCAGTACTATCAGATGGCAATACCATGGTAATCTGACATATACCATGGTACAGAAATTAATGTGCCATGGTATTTATAAGATACTGACAAGAATACGAAATCCATGTTACCTACATAAATGTCCAAATAAATCCCCCATGGTAGTACTAGCGAGTTGATTCAAATATCAGATTGTTTAACTTCAGTTTTCTGAAGTGACAGACACAAGGAATAAGTCTGCATTTTATTAGTTGGCTATAGTAACGACTTTTGCAAGTGCCATTTCAAGTCGTTTTTTGTTCCATTCAAAGCCCTTTGCTAAAGTACGCTTGTAAATGACAAAACCCATCTGCTCCTTTAGTACATTCTGTCCTTGCTCATGTACTTTTTTATTCTGAGACTGACAGTAATTCGTAATGGCACTGAAACTCAGAATAACCAGATAAAAATATTCCATATGTCACTTTAAGGTTCAACTACACTACGTTACAAAATAGTCAAAGCATTACTGGAATTCATCCCTGAAGGACAACTGACTAAGACTATTTGCTTTAAAGAAATGTCACAACCATTCAACATCAAGCTCAGAACACATGATTAGATTTATCTAAATATTATATGACTTTGGAAATAGGTCCTTTGGGACACAGCACATGCGCCAAACTGCTGTCGCTGAGGTAAAACCCAGTTTGTCTCCCAATCTCGGTTTCCTCATTAGGAGTTTGAGGTCACCATTCAGAATGTAACCAGAGTAGTGTAGTCTGGGACCATGACCTAAATATCCTTCAATAGGCCTAAAACCAAACTGTTTCCGATAAAGGGCTCAGCTGAAAACAATAACAAGCCAGATAGCTGGTTTGCACTGGTTTCTCAGCCGGTCTAGCTAGCTGAAATGTGTCCAAATAATTTTGCTGTACTGCATTAAAACATATTATTATATTATATATTAGCCTATATTATATTGATG